TCTTCTGATTCTCTTCTCTAAAATCTGCAAGGTGCTAGAAAAGGAATAATAATTTATTTAAAGAAGTATAGATCTCTTTTGTAAATTTTTTAAATTGTAGATGGACACTATATCTTTGTTTTATTTTATTTTTTTATGTGGTACTGATGATCGAGCCCAGTGCCTCACACATGTGAGGCAAGTGTTCAGCCACTGAGCTAAAATCCCAGTCCCTATAGATCTGTTATAAATAAAAATTCTTGATTTTAGTAACTGACAGTTAAAATTATCTTGGGATTTATAGCATTTTTTTCCCTGCAAAAAACCATAGGCAAGATTGCAACATGCTTGGAATTGTGAAGTGCAGCTTTACAGGTAAATGAATCTTTTAAATGAATTATTGTAAATTGTTCTGATAAGATATTAGACATTCATGCCCAAAGCAATATTATCTCAGAAGGGTTTTATAACAATTGGAATTGATCAGTTGAACTCACACTTAAATGATTTAGTTCATACTTTGTACACTGTAGAAATAAAAGATATGATTTTAATCTTTTCTGTTTATATTAGCTTGAATATTCCAAAAATCAGTTTGGAACTTTTCATTTTCTACCTTTAAAGCAAGAAATATATTTATTTTAAATATTTGATTCTTGCCACTTAAAAGACATATGGTGCAGTGAAATCTTTGTAATGAAAAGATATAATATGCATATTTTAAATTTAGTCCACACAGTCCCAGGAAGAATTTAAACTGGAGGACCTGAAGAAGCTAGAACCAAGTAAGTTTTGTTTTATATTTTTTAGTGATATTCCTTTAGGAAGAGAGTTTTATCTGTTGTGAATATTAAGAGTGTTTAGCATGGAAAGTGATTGGATTTATTTCTCTTAATTTTTGGTGGTTTTAAAATTCCTACAATATTTGCATTTTTAATTACTATTTGGATTTAATCTTTATTATAGCATATATATGCTGTACTTCATCTAAATATCCAAATTAACCTTTAATTTGTCTTAATGGCTTTAATAAGATTATGATTATTTTGTTAAACATTTTCAGTAGAGTCCAGTAGAGATTATAAGGTTACAGTCATTAATGCCCATTCATATTACATGTTATTGAAAACTACAGTCTGATTGTTGGGAATGCATTACAAAGTGTTTTTTTTTGTTGCCTCCATTTTTTCACTTCTTCAAAACTTTTCAAAAGTAAAAAATTCCTTCAGTGATCTTGTTGGTTAGGATATTCTCAAATAAAGCCTTTCTGCTGTTTCAAATGATTGCTCTCTTAGAACTGTTTGCAGTATGGGCAAAGGCACAGTGTGAATAACTGAACGAATGTAAGTTAGTGTAGCCTTTTTTAAATTTTTTTTTAGTTGTAGACAGATACAATACCTTTATTTTATTTATTTGTTTTTATGTGGTGTTGAGGATCGAATCCAGTGCCTCACACATGCAATGCAAATGCTCTACCAACTGAACTATAACCCAGCTCCTGTACTCTTTTTTTATTGAGAGAAGATTGCACATCTCAGTGCATTTGTGTGACTAGGGAACAGTATATTTTAAGTAAGATTTTTAAGTAGGGAATTATAAAATCAAAACATTTTCAAACAGAAAGGAGTCTCAGACTTGTGGTCACATTCTCTATTGAGGAAAGAAATGAAATGATTTGTTTGTCCTGTTTCACTTCAATCCCCAGTAACTGAGCAGGGCCTAAATCTCAGAACATTTGTCAGT